TTGTAGATAGGGCAAAAGGATTAAGCGTTTTGAACGATGAAACTATCGTATAAAACCACGCGTGCTTGACCTATTACAACTTTTGTTTACTGGAAGGCTTGCTCTCCAGTTTTGTGTTGCTAAGCGGTATCCAAGCACGTGACCACTAGCTGCAAAGGGCCTATTTAAAATTTGAAAATTGATAATAAATTGTTTCAATAGTTTACTGTCCTGCGAAAAGAATAGAAAATTACCCCGTAATCCTTGTAGTACTCTTTAAACAGATACTGTGGGACAAGATTCCTGTAACGGTGTTTGGTTCGCTATTTGTCTAATTAGGAACAATGAACTGTTAAAGTAGAATGCAGTGATGAAAATTATTATATATGTACTCACTTTTAAAGGTCCTTTAGGTTAATGGTTGGTCGTCTCAGAACTATTTCCTTCAATACTACCATGGATGGATTGATCCTGAATCAATTACAGAAGCACTTCCTCTGAAAACACAATTGATAAATATGTGTTACTGTGTTATCATTTACTGTCGCGGTCATGTAACTGAAGTATTGACTTTTACTTGTGCACGCAAATATTATTAAGGAAAACGAGGGATGCTTAATATTCTGGACATTTTCTGATGCTCAATTCGGTAACACAAACAAGGGAATGCTTATTTGATGTAACGGGAACTGACTATTGTTGTAACCTCTGGGCTGATCTAAACCAGGGAACGTGTAAATCACAGATAGAACCCTGAAACAACCTCTGGGCTGATCTAAGTCAGGGCATGGCTAACTCACAGATAGAAACTCAAGCGTTTACAAAATACTGCGTGCGTACCAGCTAAAAAATCAAGTGTAGTAGTATTTTAAACTCTAATGTAATAACAGTGTAATGGTGTGTTTTATCCTTGTAAAACTATATTTCTTGTATTAGACAAAATGTTTTTTTTTAAACATAGGTTTCGCTAGTAACTTCAAAACTTTGATTTGCTGAAACTTTAGTTTGTTCAAGCGTGACTTGATATTTATAGTTAAAATATTTTCATTTAGGAAATGAAATATTATGTCAAGAATTACCATAGGCCCGTCGCTAGGTCCTTGAAAGGGGAGGTTCGTTTTTCTACTAATATTGATGGTTTTCACGGCGGCCATGTTGGAGGAACTTAACAAAAGAATCGTTATATCCTCCAACATGGCCGCCGTGACTTTTAGTATTTCATTCTCTTGGGAATGGTTGAAAACCATCAATTAGTTATGGCATATCGACGTATTGTATATCGACGGGCCTGCACCACGTATAAAGATGGAATTTTACCAAATTCTTAATAGATAAATTACCTAAATTGAATTTTTGAATGCTAAAATATTCTGATTGGCTGATGAATTTGTTATGACTTCTGTGACACGAATGAGAGGGCAAAAGATCAAAAACAAAACCAAATATCTGATAGCCATCACTAGACAAAGATTTAGAACGAAAGCATTTTAGTAGCGTAAACACTGCGTCTGGATAGAAATATGGAGAAGGTCTCTTATCTATCACTGTTATGGCTTTGGATAGCTTTGCCTCAGTTTGGTATGTTATTTGGCGGTGTTTAGTTTTTCTTAAGATAACTTTATTACAGTCATTTGTATATTTTTGTTGAAAATATTCGGTTGTTTACTCAAGAAGCTATCGACTGCATGCCAATTGAGCTTTTGTCCTGTACAAAAACATTTTAACGTTGATAAAAGCAAATGCAATTTAGAAGGATTTTTTACTTCATTTTTACTTCCGCTGTATAAGCAGAAGCATATACGCCAAAGATTAACTCACTCATTTAAGAAAAGATATATTATATGAAGAATTGGCACTTATAAAGATGGTATTTTACAGAGTTTTTAAAGTGCACCTAATCCCTGATACGATACTTTCAGTATTGATTCTACATCAAGTGAATAGTTGAATGGTAAAATATTTTTTCACTTGAATGTTGCGTCTTTGAGTTAGTGACGCCAAAAAGTTAAGTGTCGATGCTAGTTGCGATCGCGTTTTAGCTTGCAACCACATTGAATTCATTTTATCGAGCTCATCTCTTCCGATAGGATGCTGAAATATCGACTTTGTTCTCTTTTACGGAAATAGAAGTTTACGGAAATAAAATTTAAACACTTATATTTACAGTTGCTGTGCAACTTCGTGTGAGTTGATCGTGTTAAAAAAACAACTTGAAAGTTAAAACTTAAAAGTTGTCGTTTAAGACTTTTTGACACTGAAAGAAGGATTCAATGCGATGATTTTGACGCTTTACTTCGACATTGATAGTTCTGGATATCATCAAAACCGCATCCAGTAATTGCTTATGTTTGTATTTGAGGGGCCTTTGTTTTTCCAGGTCTTCGTTTTTTCCGGGTCTTCGTTTTTTTCACAGCCAAGAATCAAGTGATTATACTTTACAGCAAACTTAAATATTCCGACAGCTTATCTAAGCTCTAATTGTATTCAAAATAGGGATCTTATCTCAGTATTTTGTTGCAGTCTTTATACAATTTCAATTCCAAATGTATCGCAGTTATGATCGCAGTTTATCTAATTACTCAACAACTGACCGGTCAAAATGACAAGCAAAGATTTGGGGAGTAACTTCCTGTACGGGAATTGTCAGGGAATTCTATTCAAATTCAAAATTCTGAGTGGTTAGGTTTAGGGATGGGATAGGCATTGTAATATTATTTGGTGCCAAGGGTGCTAGGTTCGGTGAGGAGAACCAAAATCTTTGAAAAATGTCAAAGTCCCACTCGCGTGTTCGAAAACCTATGACGAAGTTATTTCCAAGATTTGAACGGGCAGGTTCCAACTGAAGAAATAAGATTATTGGTGACCTCTGCAAGTAATAGAGAGTTTTAGATTGCATGACGTTCACGCTAAACGTGTAACGTCATTTGATCAGTGAAAAATATTTTAAATAAGTGAAAATGAATCGCAAAAAAATCCAAGTAGTAGAAAAACCAAAGAATATTTTTTTGTGATATGAAAGATATGAAAAGGTAAAGTAAAATACAGGAAAACGATGAAAACGTGGTCACGTTTGCCGTTTGCGGGAAGGAAAAAAGTCTATCTAAAACTCTCTAATGACGTATACCCATTGGCGGAAAGAAAGGTAAAGGACYTTTTCATGGTGTACTAATTAACTGACAAAAACAAAATACAATCAAGTTCAAATAAGACTAACGATCTTTTTTAGCCATTAATAAATTGATTTGTATACTTGCATACAGTGCTGTTTATGTAAGAGATAAAAAATATTGATTAAACTCCAACTGGGCTGGAAACCATGAAGGCAACTACTCTTCTTTTTCTTACTTTGGATTCCTCTATTGCTTTACTGCGTCTCGTTAAGCTATTTTTCATTATTTTGCCCAAAGCTCTAACATTGAACACGTTCTCAAGGTATTCGATTCTCAAAATGTTTACTTTCACAACGTTGATGGATGTGCTCTAAAACGACTGATTTATACTTCTAACTACACGCGAATATCTCAGGAAATAGTAACAAAGTGTATATCAACAAGCAAATATCTCAGGAAATAGTAACAAAGTGCACGTCAACAAGCGAATATCTCAGGAAATAGTAACAAAGTGCATGTTTCTTTATAATAGCATACAAATCAAGACTTTTTCTTCAAATACAATAAATACTTCCGGGAGTTGTACAGCGTTGATACCAAAGCCGTTCTGCAGTAGAGTAAAGGTCGATTTAGACGGTACGATTTTCGCCTACAGCTATCGTATACAACACGTTCGCGTCTATCGTAGGCGAGTTGTAGGCTTGATTTACACGCTACAACTAGAGTTGTAGGATGGCACGAGCATGTTGTATGCGATAGTTGTAGGCGAAAATCGTACCGTCTAAACCGGCCTTAAGGGCATTTAAGGAGTCTCACAACAGTTTTTCTTGATTGCGCGCGCTCTATGAATTTTAATATTCAAACTGAAAAAAATCAAAAACTCTGTGGTGAAATTTCTTCAAATTTTGCATATGGCTTTAGTTTATGTTTTCGAAAACTTAAGGAAATCTTTAAAAAATTCTGTGAGAGGGAACTATTCCAAACAAATTTTATTGATTTTTACGAATTCCCTCTTACAGAATTTTTTCTTTTTTTGTCAAAAAGCAGATTACGATAACGCAAAGTTTAAATATTCCGGTTTATAAAAAAAATTCACCATTTGGTTCCTGAGTTATGATTTTTTAAATAAACATTTTTGATGGCATACCAAGGTTCTGATTGTTGTCATAGCAATGTTACATCATTTTTTCATGTTCATTGTGATCTTTGGTTTACAGTCTTTGGCTTTCCTGGTTTACTTGCTGTCATATATCACAGCCATACTATTTTCTTTAGTCCATACTGTGAAGGCACAAAACACTTTCCAGCCTCCTTAATCCGTGAAATAATCAAATAGACACAAAAGAAAACAATGGAATTAGGGTCTACTAAAGTGTATTAGTCTAATATCTATTCCACGGGTTTAGTGACTTCACTCTAGTCAAATAGACACAAAAGAAAACAATGGAATTAGGGTCTACTAAAGTGTATTAGTCTAATATCTTTTTCACGGGTTTAATGACTTCACTCTACTGTACCCGGTGGCGTCTGTTTTTGCTTTAACCAACCCATTCTTGCTTTCTTTTTTAGTTGTGATAAAATCTGATTAAAGGTTCTTAAAGTTTCTGGCAAATTCGCAAATTTCCGTAAAGCACTGCGAAATCCGAATTGAATTTAGATTTGAGTTACCGATAAAAAAATTAAATGTAAAATATGAAACTGAAATATTATTTACCTCTGTACTTAGTAAATATCTCTATGAATATCACGTATAGGCTCTGTATGACACTACCCTGCAATAAATTAGAAGATAACTATAAACCTATGAAAAATAAATGTGATTTTCTGGAGAGGCTTTCTACACAGGATGCCGGAAACTAGTAAGTCTCCAAATCTTAACATTTTGAACAAAACTAAAGAAACAAATACTTCACAGATATTTGAAGGGCACATGTTGAAGATGATCGATTTGAATTATTTATGTTAATCACTACTTTAGCAATACTATCATAATAGGATTTTTATTTATGCATATTTATATTGCCATTTTGCTATTTTTACGTTTCCCCCTTTATACACTAAATTGGTTAGAATTTAGTATTAAGAGTTTTAAGAATAAATTATACGTATTATTAATTAGTTATATAGTCTGAATAGTTAATATCTTAATAGACCTTAGTTTGTATGTTTTTACTCATTCTTGAATTTTAATATCTAGTATTGTATAAGATAAGGATAAGAATTAGGATAAGAATTATTTTATATTGTTCTTACATTATATTTATTATATTTATACAAATATTTATATTATTTTAATTAGAGGGCCATAAGTTAATCAATTAACAAAATTACTGTCACGTGTCACCCTCATTAAATAAAGTCTTCAATCAATCAATCAATCAATCAATACACTGTAATGTAATGTAATGTACAGTGGAGGGGAAGAACGATAAAATTGAAAGAGGCACTACTTATTAAAGTTCAGCTAAGTTTTCTTTACTTTATTTCACATTTTAAAGAATTTATTGAGGTTTTAAAGCACCGCCTTACTTTTTTTAACAATATGACACCACAGAAACCTAGTTTGGGCTAACTGTGATATATGGAGCAAAATAAATCTGAATAAGCAACAGACTTTCGAAGACTACGAGGGCCCGGAACTCGTCAACCTGGAAGACCCACAGGGTAACCAAATCAAGTCAGTAGTAGGCATAACGAGGATTAGAACACACTTGGTTTTAATTTACTTTTCTTTCAAATCTTTTTTCAGAAAAAAATAATGAAATTTTAAAYATTAAGAATCAAAATTTCGTTCAAGAATGAAGAAACAAAAAACATTTCTATGGGGGGAGGGGGGGGACGTAACCCTTGAAGGTCTCCTTAACTTGCTTGTTCAATCCCTAGATTACACAGCCGCAGCAAGTCTCAAGCTTCTTACTACCTCCAATATGCGTCAGTCAACTTTATTCCCTTATGGTATTCTACAAATTCAGTACAACGGAGAATGGGGAACGGTATGTGATGATTCATGGGACATAAGAGACACTCATGTTGCTTGCAAGCAGCTTGGTTACTTCAGAGGGCTCGCACACATGTACATGGGTGAAGGATCTGGAAGGATATGGTTAGATGACGTGGGATGTACCGGAAGTGAGAGCTTATTAGAAAACTGTCCCAATTCTGGTTGGGGTAATCATAACTGTGGACACGGCGAAGACATTAGTATTGTTTGCGAAACAGGTCAGGATTTTTGACAGCTTGTCTCTGATGTCTCAGTATTAGTATTAGATATATCAATCAATTTTTTATATTATAAGGTTTTAGATTGTAAAGCGCACTGAGATCTTTTTAGAATGCGCTTACTAAGAATTTTATTATTATTATTATTATTATTATT